GTACAGCAAAGCCCCTAGTGGGTTTGAACCTCTGACCTTTCTTTCACTTTATCAGTTGAGTGCTTAACCACTGTGCCACCCGGGCTACTTATTACAATTGATGAGCCATTAACACATCATCATTACTAAAGTACATAATTTACCTTGGTGTTCACTCTTTGTGTTGTACAGTTTTATGGATCTCGACAAACGTATAATGTTATGTGTTCAACATTACAGTGTCATGCAGAATAGTCTGCTGCCTTAAAAATCCCCCCATTCCACCTGCTCATCCCTCCCTACACTTCTCCCGAATCCCTGGCAACCACCAATCTTTTTAGTGGTTTTAATAGACCCACTCAAATCTTCTGCCTTTATCAGTTTCTCTTTTCTCATAGATAATCTTATAATACTCAAAGTCTTATTATTTATAAAATTATTGACCATGTGCGGAAAATTCACATTGCCAATCTCTCTGCTTTGTTTACCAAAAGCCCATGAGCAATAGATTCCCTCCCTGCCCTAGCCTTGCAGCTAGGCTTTAAAGGAGATATGAAAGTGGCCCAGTCTTTCTCCTCAAGAAGCTTCCTTTAGCTCCCCTGTGTTGTTGCTGTTATGTGCCATCAAGTCATACCTGACTCATAGCGACCCCTCCTTGGGTTTCCGAGGCAGTATCACTACAGAAGTAGATTGCCCAACCTTCCTTCTGAGGAGTGGCTGGTGGGTTTGAACCACCAGCCTTCTGGTTAGCAGTCAAATGCCTTGCACTAAGCTACCAGAGCTCCCCTAGCTCCCCTAGTGGGGACATACGTATGCAATATCTACAACTCACAGCAGATGTTCAGAACTAGTGCTGATTCATGGGTCCTTCGGCCCTTGCTTCTTATGCTTTTGGCCAATTCCCTGCTTTCTTAGTTCTCTTATCCAGGAGAGGTTGTTCAGGGACATGGCTTAACCAAGACTCTGCTTGGAGAGACAGACTGGTGTATCTGGGCTCAGACCCAAGAACTTTGTTTCTGCCCTTGCTTTGATCAAGAAGTATGTCAGAGCCAACTGTGCTGCTCACCTTGACTGAGTGTGCTCATCTTCTCTGGCATGACTGCACCACTCACCTACCCATGCCCCTTGCATCTGCTACCTCAGGGGTAATTTATTTTTCAGAATTCAAGGGAGTTTTGTAAGCTCCCTCTCCTCCTTTGTGGATTGAGAAGAAAGGTGGGTATAAATAATCCAATAGTTGATATCTATGTGAGCTAAGTTTTCAACCTCTCTGTGACACAATTTCCCTCTCCAGAAAACATCTTATCTGCCACTTTCAGAATTGGTGTGAGGATAAGATGTTACTGTGACAATGCTTACCCTCTGGAAAAACTAATGTATGCTACAAAAACAGAGTCTCATGAGGAAGGTGATGATAGGGATGATTTCAAATTATAGATCATATCTTTTAAATCTTGACATTTAGGTGAGGTTTTTAGAGAGAAAACTGAGTGATGGAGGCTTATCAAGTAGGTATTTTGATAAAAACCGACATATCCTTGTGCTTCCCATAGTGTGGGCTTTGTAATGTAGAACTTTTGGGGTTGGTGCTACTGCAAGTCATACCTAGGGGTGAAACTATCTACCCAGTAGAGCAGCTATGTATGAGAGTCATTGTCCATCAATTAAATAGATGTGGCAATAATAATGTGAAGGCAGAGAGTTGTCCCTGGAACGGGCCTCTGCCTGACCTTAATTCTTCATCTCCTTTTCTGTTTATAAACTGCCTGAGTCCACATATTCCTAATCTACTTATTTTTATTGTAGACTTCCCTTTCTTTGTGTGTGTTCAGCATTCATTCATTCAATGGGGATGTGAACAACTGAATATGTACAAAAAATGCATTAGGCCCTTGACCTACATTATTTCATTTTACCCCACAAAAATATTGTGAAGTGTCACTTTTAGGCTTGGTCCACAAATAAAGATATTGTCATAAAAAGAGGTTAAATAATTTAGTCTAATTCTAAACAGTGAACAATGGCTGAGCTGATACATTTTACCCCTCAGCTGAGGTAAACAAAACGAATAAAATGAGGTCCAAAGCTGGAGAAGTTCACTATCTAGTTGGGGAGGCAAATAATTTAAACACATGATTATAGTACAGTATATGTATGTATGATACATGCATATGACAAATGCAATAGCGGAAGTGCACATGAGGTAACTTAGAAATGGAGAGAAAGGAGCAGCTAACTCTTAAGGGCAAGCTACTAACTCCTCAGAGTGGAGACCACTGAGCTGATCTTTAAAGGATGAGTGCATGTCCACAGGTGGAAGGGCTCAGTGCTGAGAACTGGGTGCAAAGGAGCCCTGCTTGGTCTGGAGACAAGAGCCCTGCTGTAGACACATGCATGCAAGGCTATAGGAACAGTGTGAACTGAAGAGTACATTGGAGTCAGACTGAGGTGAGCCTTGGATGCCAGGAATAGTAGACACTTGGCCCCCACTTGAGCTATCCCTTCTGACTCCTCTACCTCCTGGAGCCAGAGTTCAACCTTTTATTCTAGGTTGCCACAGCCATTTCTATCTTCTCCCACTACTTCTGGCCGTCTTAGGGGTCTTGGTGAGAAACGGAAGAAAAAGAAGAAAGCAAGCTCCCTACTGCATCCCAAGGGCCTGTAGGGAATGCCACAAAACCATCACTAGCAATTCTATTCCTCTGAGTCAAGAAGTCTCAGTTAAGATACAAATGAACTGAAAAGAGTTTCTCACTAACTTATTATGGGCTTGCTTAGGGAAGGTCCAGAACATAGAGCAGTGCCCACATAGTTTAGGTCTAGTGAATCAAAATAATAGTGATTATGAGCTAACATTTACTGAGTACTCTCAATGCACCAGTCTTTTCATGCCCCCCATGCCTTTGCTGCAAAAGACCTCTTTAAAGTGTTAAACAGCAAAGATGTCACTTTGAAGACTAAGGTGTGCCTGACCCAAGCCACGGTACTACCAATAGCCACATATGCATGTGAAAGCTGGACAAGGAATAAAGAAGACAGATGAAGAGCTGATGCATGTGAACTGTGGTGTTGGCAAAGAAAATACTGAAAATACTGTGGACCATCAGAAGAACAAATCTGTCCTGGAAGAAGTATAGCCAGAATGCTTCTTAGAAGCGAAATGGCCAGACTTTGTCTCACCTACTTTGGTCATGTTGTCAGAAGTGACAGTCCCTGGAGAAGGTTCTCACGCTTGGTGAAGTAGAGGGTCGACAAAAAAGAGAAAGACCATCAATGAGTTAGACTGACACAGTGGCTATAATGATGGACTCTGGGATAGCAAATATTGTGAGGTTGATGCAGGACTGGGCAGTATTTCATTTTGCTGTACATAAGGAAGGTTGGGCAATCTACTTCCGTAGTGATACTGCCTCAGAAACCCAACGAGGGTTCGCTATTAGTAGGGTCTGACTCATCAGCACATGACAACAACAACAACAAGGTTGCTATAAGTCCAAGCCCACTCCACAGCACCTAACAACAACAATACCTTTGCAAACACCCTTTACTTGGCCTAGAATGTCTTCTCTTCTTCTTTGATTTAAGATCCAGCTCATAGTCATGCTTTCTATGAAATCTTCCTCAGATTACCCAGACAAAAGTAATGACTCCTCCCTTGTAGTCCCATGGCCATGACTGGAACTCCTGGAGGAGAGGGTTCTGTGTGGAGCTCATCTTTGTAATCAATTTTGTATCAAATATGATCAAAACTATGTCTGCCCCATAATATTGGTTCAAAATTTGTGGGTGTTTTTGCTTGTTGGATGGTTTTATTTTATTTTATTATAATGAATGGGAATAGTTTGGATTGCACTCTACTCATAGTAAGAAGGTTCCTTAGTGACAGCTTGGGTTATTTTATGTCCCCTGATATCATTCCCATGCCCTACGAAAAATATCCCCAAATACTAGAGTAACTATTTTCCTAAGGAATCCAACTTGGTAACTAAAGGTTGTTGTTGTTGTTGTTGTTATGTGCCGTCGAGTCGGCCCCGACTCATAGCGACCCCTCCTTGGGTTTCCGAGGCAGTATCACTACGGAAGTAGGATTGCCCAACCTTCCTTCCGAGGAGTGGCTGGTGGGTTTGAACCGCCAGCCGTCTGGTTAGCAGGCAAAGTGTCTTAGCCACTATGCTACCAGAGCTCCCAACTTGGTAACTAAAGGAGAGACTATTTATTTAAAAGTACGGAGAGGGATGAGTAGGTTACTCTGTGTTCACTGTTGTCTCTGAGAGGGCGCTGTTCCCAAATCAAACCTCCAGAGGCCGAGACTGAAATACCAGAGCTTTCCCAATGGACTCAGCATCCCTTTCCAGGCTGCTGCCCCGGGTCCTGAGCGGAGAGCCTGCCCACAAACAGGGCGACGCCCTGCTAAGCTTCTTCTCCCAGAGATGGTTGGGCCGGCCTGGCATTGCCAGTACTCGGGGACTTCCTCTGCGCGCCGGCTTCCTGCAAGGCTGTCATTTAAGCCGGCGCCTCAGCCTGCGGGATGCTGTTGCGGATGCTGAGCTGTCTGGGGGCTGCATTGCACCGCCGTCTCCCTTGAGCCGCCTCAGCTGGGAAGGAGCGGAGCCTAAGCATCCCTTAATTGCGCTCTGGGCAGAGTTGGGGAGAGCGAGGGGAGAATTCGGGGACCCTGTCGTCTGGCAGTTTAATTGCAGGTTTGACTTTAATTTCCAAGACTGCAACCTGCCTCTCCCCGCGCTTATTATTTTTCCTCCCCCCGATCTTGGGGAAACTGAAGAAGAGCTTCGTTTCAAGAGCAGAGAGTGAGCGTGCTTCCAGACATACTCTGTCGCCCTAGAGATCCAGAACCGTGCGCCCCAGCCGTGATGCGGATGAGCCCCGCACTCCAGTGAAGCCGCGGCGTGGCTTCCAGCTCCGCGGTGCGGCCCTGCGGCTACCTTTCCAGAGGAGCGGAGGGACTCGAGGACCCTGAGTCTTCCTGCTGGGGCTGCGCGCGGTGAGCAACCGCGGCCAAAATGTTCAGCTGGCAGAGTGCTTACGACCGCCGGAGGAAGGACCCCGAGCCCTTCGAGACCGTGAGCGAGGGGCTCAAAAAACTGTACAAGACCAAGCTGCTGCCCCTGGAAGAACATTACCGTTTCCACGAGTTTCACTCGCCAGCCCTGGAGGATGCCGATTTCGACAACAAGCCCATGGTACTGCTGGTGGGGCAGTACTCCACCGGAAAGACCTCCTTCATCAGGTGAGCGGGCCCAGGAAACCTGCAACCCCACCTCGCCCCGCTACCCACTCCTTAGCCCCTTGGTTCTCTGGTGCCCTATTCCTGACAAACTTTAAGTCTTCAATTAAGGGTTCTGAAGAAATCCTTGTGCCTGTGTCAAAACTTACTCTACAATTTCATTGCTGGTTCCCCTCCTTGTCTTACCCCACTCCACTGTACTTACCCCTTGTATCCAGTGGCCAATTTGAAGTATTAAAGTTCAGAACCATCCCTGTTCTCTCCATCATATGGTTAATGATAACTCAAGTCCAGTAGGCACAAGAGGAAGAGCTGCTGGTCATGGGAGCACCTGTGCTAATGGGAATGGCTTTCACCCTCCCTTTTTGGTGGAACGTTCGTTCCAGGTTGGGGACATGTCCTTCATGGCTTTGACTACCTCCCCTGACTTTTGAAGAGCTCAGCCACACACATGGAGACTTTTCCAGATACAGCTGAGGAGTTCTGATGATAGAAGGCCTGGAATGGGTGTGAGCTGGGGACCCTGGGCTCCCTCCCTGGTGGTGCCACTTGTCTTTCTTTTATTATCTTCCTCCTCTCAGGCACAGTTCCTACTTATATCTCTTGGAGACTGGACAGAAGCAGAACACTCCACCCTACCCCCTTGTTTGGTCTTAATAGTTCAATAATAATATTAAAGATTTTAGAAGCAGAAGGGCTATTGGCAATTGTCTCATCCAGCCACTTGACTTTGCAAGTGAGATAACTGAGGCACAGAGAAGTTAGATAATTGCCCAAATCCATGTAACTGAGTGGGAGACAGACCTGGGATGCAAGTCTTAGATGCATGTGAGGACATGGTTGGCCTGTAACTTTGAGAGTGAGTCATCCATTCTCTTGTATTGATTGAATTGATTTTGGAAAAAGTTCAAACAAGGCTGAGAACTTGGGGGGTAATTGCACTGTTGGCTTTTGGGTATTTTGGATTGTTAAAACTGCAAAGGCCCTTAGAGATTAACCAGTCCACTGTTCTTAACTTTTTGGCCAGGTCTTCCCTTGAAAATCTGATGAAAGCTACCATTAGGACAATGCACAGGCATCCAAATTTGCATACAATTTTGGGAGTACAAGGACTGTCCTTGGACCTTAGGGTGAGAATTAATCCATGACATAAGTCATGTCCCTTATATTATTAAACACCTATTTCTGCCAAAGGTGGTTCAGAGACAACTAGACTCTGTACATAGTTTCCTTTGTGGTCCCTGTTTTCTGCCTGGCCTGGATTATGTTCCATGGAAAGTACAGACCATTCACAGATTATTCCTGCCCTCACAGCCTTCCCTGGCTCTCTTGACACCCTTTTTGTTATAACTCTGAGCACATTTTTTGGTGCTTCTCCTTCCTGGAACATGAGCACATACAAGGCAGTAGTCCTGCTTAGCATTTTGAGGCCTAACCTAGGGTCTCACCTACAGGAAGTTCCTGATAGACATTTGCAGAACCCAAGGGAAGATGATGAAAAAATGTGTCCCAAAGGGTGGCATCCCAAGGCAGGTTTAAGTGCCTTTTGTCAGAGGCAGTCTCTCCTGGCTTCAATTAAGGATTCATCTCTTATTTGCCTGAGTCATCTCTGACTGTTAACTGTGTCTAGGAAAGTGGCAGAGTCAAGTTGCCATTGATTATTGCTTATCTGAGGGAGACAGGAAGGCCAGAGGAGGCAGATCCTTCTTGTTTTTTTTTTTTTTTTTTTACAAGATTGCTCCCTCTCCACTCAAGTCAGTAACTGAATTAAGCATATGTTATCAAAAGCAGCCTTCCCTTGAGAGAGAACAATCCATCAGGGTAGCAGGTAAAACCCTCCAAAAACATGTTTTCCTTCCTTCTGATTAAATTCAATGAACAGTTATTTTATTTTTAAAATTGGAAAATACAGAAAATGAATTTGAGGAAGGAAAAATCACCCATAATCTTATGACTCAGTCGTAACCATTCTATATGTATATATCTTCCCAGGAATTCCTGAACAGTACAAATAGTTAAGTGCTGGACTATGAACCAAAAGACTGGTGGTTCAAACTCATCCATAGGCTCCTCAGAAGATGGACCTAGAAATCTGCTTCCAAAATGTCACAACATTGACAACTCTATGGAACAATTCTACTCTGCACACATGGGGTCACTATGAGTTGGAATCCATTCTATGGCAAATAACAACATATATCTTCCCAGTATTTTTAGCTATTTTATAACACATTTGAGAACATGCCATCTATATAATTGTATATAGTTATTTTTTACTTAGAGCTCTAGTGGCTCACTATCTAAGGCATTTGACAGCTAACCAGAAGGTTGGCAGTTCAAACCCATCTGCCATTCTATGGAAGGAAGATTGAGCAGTCTGCTTCCATAAAGATTTACTACCTTGGAAACCCAATGGGGCATCACTATGAGTAAGAATCTACTTGAGTTGGAATCAATTTGATGGCAGTGAGTTGTTTTTTTTTTTTTTTTTTTTTTAAGTAACTTGAGTATTTCCCATGCAATTAGAAAATCTTTGTGTTATTTTAACATCTGTATAATATTTCACCATGTGTATATGCAATTACATATTTCATCAGTCTTCTTTATAAGTTGCTTCTAATTTTTGGCTATTGTAGGATCACTCTGAAGATCTTTGTGTGTACTATTTTCCCACTTATTGAGCTATTCTCCAGGAGATTCCCAGAAACAGAATTACTGAGGCAAAGATTATACAGAGGTTTTTGTGGTAAGAGTCATATTTCCCAGTGACTTACCAAAAGGGTAAATTGGGACACCTGCTTTCTCTAAAGCCAGAATGATTCCACTCAAGAAGCTCGGTGCATCAGGCCGAGATCTCAGAGGGTCTTCGCCTCTCTCTCCTTTCCCATCCTGCTTCTTGGCTTGAGTGTGATGATGCTCATCTCAGGCCCTGGTCTGAAGCTGGGAGGGCATTTCCCTCTGAAATAATGACTTGTATATTCACTGCCCTGTCCCTTGGCCTCTTAAGTCTCCATCCACCTTGCTTGCCGTGGGGTCTGTTTCATCTCAGGAAGAGTACACAGAAAAGAACATTCTTCTAATAACTAATTAACGTGCTGTGATCTCTGCCTGAAATAACTTCCCTGGCCTAAGGCCTGGCAACCCAGAGTAATAAAATAAACAATAAATTGGCCTTATGGCTGTTCTTCCCAATTATAAGCTGCCTCTTTGGAGTACAGTAGCTCTGTGTCCCTCTAACCCTGGCAGCATATTCTCCTGCCTCTGCTATTTTTCTCCCTTCACTATTTCTCTCTGACTTCCAGCCTCAAGTCTCTCCTCCCTTGGATCACATGACCCCCCTGGTCACTCCTTGCTGCCCACTTTCTGTGACTCCTCTATTCAGGAAGTAGTAGAGCTGAACAGCTGACTGCTCCAGAAGTTAAGGAAGGCATGAGTATTCCCATGCCATGGACAGTAGGTGAGGCTTCAATGACTGTGGCAGAGCTGAGATAGAGTGCCCAGTTGGGTGTGGGGATTGTGGCTGCCAGAGCCAACAGCCTGAATCTCCGCAGTAAGATATGGGCTGGTGTGCAGGGTTGCATGGATCTTTTATAGTGTGACTTAGGCTCTGAAGGATATGGCAGGACTTCTGGGGTGGGTGGTGTTTCACCCATCAGGGCTATGCAGCTGGCACCTTTCAATTGTCCCTACTTCATCAGGGACTATTTGCATTCTCCCATCCTGCTTCTTGCCTTGTGGTGATGCTCATCTGTGTCCCTGGCCTGGACCTTGAGGGTCTGTCCCTCAGAAACAAAGACTGAGTCCTCTCAATGGTGACTCAGCATTTCCCTATGGCTGGACCATTTCTCATCACCCTATTGATATCCCACTCCCCAGGCCTCAGGCATTACAGCATTCTTACCTTGGAAAGGATGGTTCTCTAGAAAGCCAAAGGGACATTATTCCATGTACATCCACTTGCTTCTGCAAAGTTTATACTGCCAGCCACTATCCCTACAACACCTTGCCTAGCTCTGAGGTCTATGATGTCCTTTTTCTGTCAGGGTCCTGCTCTGCTCGATCTCTAAATGTAAATCCATTCACCTCTCACAAGACCTGAGTGTTATTCAAGGGAGCAGAAGGCACTAGGCTGGAGGAGCTGCATCCCCTGCTTCAGGCCTGGCTTAGGATCCCCTTGACAAGCAGGTGTCTGGAGGTCATCATAAAAAAGCAGTTAATGGGAGAAAGGTTTCCATCTCCTTCCCGTTCCCAGTGGGAAAAAGTCAATGGAAGGAACATGGGCCGGGTCAGCATAGTCCAAGTTCCACAACTTACCAGCTGTCTTAGTTATCTGTTGTTATGTGCCATCGAGTCAGACTCGACTCATAGCGACCCCTCCTTGGGTTTACGAGGCAGTATCACTACGGAAGTAGATTGCCCCATCTTCCTTCCGAGCTTAGTTGTCTAGTGCTGCTATAACAGAAATACCACACATGGATGGCTTTAACAAACAAATTTATTCTCTCAAGGTTTAGGAGGTTAGAAGTCCAAATTCAGGGTGCCAGTTCTAAGGGAAGGTTTTTTCTCTCTGTTGGCTCTGGGGAAAGGTCTCTGACTCCTTTCAGCATCTGTGGATCTGGCATTCCTTGGAGATCTCCATGTTGCTTGACATCAGTCTTCCCCTGGAGCTAGGAGATTCTCAGGTCCAAAGGATACGCTCCACTTCTGGCTCTTTTTCCTCTGGTTTTTTCAGCCCTCTCTCTCCTTTTTTTTTTTTCCCCCTTTCAAAATAAATGTATTTCTGGATGGGAAGGGTGGGTAAGGAAGGATGTTCACTTGAGAAAAAACAACAGCAGCAGCAGCAACAAAAACAACAACCACCAAAAAAAAAAAAAAAAAACCAACCTTTCATTTCTTTACATAGCAACTTCCTTAGAGATTAATGATTTACTGGTGGCATAGTGCCTAAAGCATTTGACTGCTAACCAGAAGGTTGATGGTGCAAACCCACCAGCCACTCCTTG